GCGCCGGTGGCAGAGTTTGCGCCCAACTCTGCCATTTACGGCCTTTCAGCCGTTGCCGTCGTTCGGGGCAATTGATGACGGCGCGCTTCTTTCTGGCAGACTTCTTCAGGCGTACTCTGCCACCATGGAAGTTCCCCACTATTGGACGGCCGACCGGTTCAGCGTCTCCTGGACGCGCCGTCAACCCACAATCAGCGCCAGGCCCGCACCGGTGAACGCCGTGGCCTACGTCCGCTACACCGCGATAAGCGCCATGCGCACCCGCAATGAGATCGAGGAGACCATCAATCCGTCTCCCAGTTCCGGCGCCGTCATCACGCCGGGAGCGGCTTTGATACGGGCCCGTCGCTGAACCCCAGCGCACGGCGCACCGTCTCGTTGGCGCGCACCAGCCGCATGGCCGACGTGGGCCAATCGGGATTGTGGTGGTTGGCCACCTCGTGGCGTTCCACGATCCCCGCCTGCTGGTATTGGTCAATCAGCCGGCGGCACTCGAACTCGTTCCACCCCATCCCCCATTCCAGCATCCACTGGTTGCACAGCATGCTGTAGCCCACGAAGTTCAGCCGGCCCTCCAGCTGGTTCATCTCCCGGACGAACCGCTCCAGCGCATCGTCAATGCCCGCGTCGTCATCCGCAGGGACCACAGAGAGTGTCACGTTGACGTCGCCGTGCTCCGCCGTCCGAATGCCCAGCTCGGCCTCAAGCGGGAAGAACGGCAACGTGGCCAGCATATCGGGAGACACCGACCGGCTGAAGGCGCACAGCACGATGCGCCGCCCGTGGAGCCGGGCCCGGTCCACCAGGACCTGGTATCCAGCGTCGCCCGAGCCCAGAATCACCGTGCCGCAGTCCTCCCGGTCCCTGATCCACTCGTAGACTTCCAGCAGAATGGCCGGGTCGGACCGGTCCTTGCCGGCGCGGCTGCGGGGAGCGTGATACAGGACGATATCGTGCTCGGTGAACTCCCGCCCATCATCGGCCTGGAGCGACCAGTCGCCGAAGGCCTTGCCACCCGCCACCTCTCCGAAGATGCGGCCCACGTCCTGCATGGCCCGGCACAGCTCGGCCGGCCTGACGTCGCGCTGGTAGAGCTGCGCGCCGCGCCGGATGTTCTCCCAGTCGATGGCGATCAGGACGCCCCGGGGTTGCTGGCTCATGAATTCGGCTCTCGTGCGAACGGGGTGTGGGTACCGGATCTGGTCAGGTTGAGGGCATCCCATTTGTGACCCGCAGGGTGCGCCGGCACTTCGCCCGGGAGCGGAAAAAGGTCGCGTTGGCCACCGCCGACCGTTTCAACGAGCCCTCACCCTCAACGGCTGCCTCATGCCGAAGATGGACGCCGCAGCGTCCACGATGCGCTCGGTGGCGCGCCACTGCACCTGACGGAGAATCATCGACGGGAGCAGGCGCTGCCGGGGGAGATGCAACCCTGTCCGGTTGTCCACTGCGGGCAGACGGCGGGGTTAGTCGGCCGCGCTGCCCGCAGCGGTGAAACCATTGTATCGGCCCTCCCCGCGCCGGCGTAAGGCCCAAGTGTCATCAAAATGCGAACCACTGACCACGGATCAGCCGGGAAACCGTAGCCGTGAAGTACAATTGCCCGCGCCATTCCCCTCCCAGGAGCTGTCAACGATGACCACCCCATCCGCGAGCGTTGAGATTTACTGCGTCAAGTGCAAGGCCAAGACCGGCTCCAAGGACATCGAGGCCGTCACCATGAAGAACGGCCGCGACGCCACCCGTTCCGTCTGCGTGGAGTGCGGCACGAAAAAGTTCCGCATCGGCGTCCTCCCCTGACCGGCTCGCTCATCCCACCGTCATGGCGCTGGACCTGGGCCTCACTACGCGACAACTGCTGTCCGCGCTGGACGGCGTGGTATCGGACGCACATTCCCGCGGCCAGCGCCTGGACGACGCCATCGACCGGGCGCGCTCCATCTCAGCCGACGAGGCCGCCTTCCGCACCGCCGCGGTGGGCCGCCGTCCCTACATCTCCGCCCGCACCGGTCCCGAGGGCCTGCTGGGCAGCCGTCCACCGCCGGAGGTTCCCCAGGACTGGACCGCGCTATCCGTCGACGGCTCCCACATCGACGTGGACCGCCACCTGCCCCTGCGCTGCCACCTCATCAACCTGGGCGGCTGCGCCATCACCTACGGGAAGCATTTCGGCTGCCAGCTGTTCAGCGAGCCCACCCTGGCCGTGGAGGACATCGACCTGTACCTCCCTTCTCCTGACGGTACACGCGGTGAGACCCTGATCGCGGGTCCGCTGCTGGGCGCCCTGCGCACCGTGCAGGAGGTGGAACGCCTGGCCGATGCCGTCGAAAGCCTGCCCGACGATCGGCCGGTACTCGCCCTGCTGGACGGCACTCTGGCCTTCTGGGACCTGCAGCGCGGCAACTACCCCCGCTACGTCGCCGACCTGCTCATCGGTGACCGTCTGCAGCCCGCCCTGGCCCGCCTGCGGGCGGCGTCCACTGAGCAGCGTCCGGTGGCCGTGGCCGCCTACACCTCCAGGCCCCGCACCACCGAGGTGGCCGGCGCCGTTCGCCTCATGCTCTGCGACCAGGGCGACGCCGACTGCAACCGCTTCTGCACCGCCCGCCGCTCCGATCTGCCCTCCTGCGACCGTGCCGCCGGCTTCGACGATCGTGAACTGATCGAGCTGGTGCTGGAACCGGGCCACCGCTCGCTGCTAACTAAAAACCGGTCCCAGCCACCTGCGGCCCGCTTTTCGCCCTGGGCCTGGCCACTTCATGCCGACCGGTGGATAATGCGCACCTGAAGGGAGCCACGCAAAATCTCGGCACTGACGTTTTTCCCTTTTATGTTACGTTAAGCGATGATAACTCAGCAAAGAATGGTTGCTGCAAAGTCTCTGACTGTGCGCACACTACCTCGAACAGCGGGGAGCCCAAAAACAAAGCCGGTCCTTTTCAGACTTAATTAGAGGCCCCTTAGGGCGGAGGGCGGAGGACGTTGGTCCGGGGACAGAGTAAGAGTCATCAGGAGTGAGCCACTTCTACTCACTGAACAGCGGCGCCAGAATCCCCGCGGGGCGAGGTCCCCGACTGCTGGCCGAGGACCCCAGATCTGCTGCGCTCAGCCCCGCCATGCTCGTGAAACAGTGCCAACTGGGCCTGGGCTATCCGGCGGCCATCTCCGAGGCCCACGAACAGGCCGTTATCACCGGCCACGACCGGGAGGAGTTCAGGCGCCTGACCCTCATGCTCCTGGAACAGCGCGGCCTGCCCACCACCGAATCGGCCAAGGCTTCCTCCAAGCGCCGGCCCTGGGTCTGAGCCCTCCGCGGCGGCATTGTTGCCGGTCAACCGCTCACAATGGCTCGGCCTCGAACACGGCGGCCGGCGTGCGGATGCTGCCCGCCTCGCGCAGGAAATCCATGGCCAGCGACACGTCCCGATACACATCGCTCAACGCGTGTTCCACCACGACAACGTCCACCGGCTCCCAGACGGCTTCGTCAAGGTACCTGCGCCAGTAGATATGTGCCTCATCACGGTCCGTACGTCGGCCGCCTTCCATGGGTTCCGGCGCTCCCCGTCAACAGAGCTCTACCGGCCCCTCGGCGCGCTCATCGCAGCTTCCCAGCCGTCAACGTCCACCGGATCCAATCTCTCCACCTCCGGCAGTCGGTCAAAGTCGGTGTCCGCCGTGACGATGCGGCTCACCCCCACGCGCTGCATCACCGCCAGGTGCACCAGGTCCCGAGCGCTCACCCCCGGGTTATCGTCGGCCAATCGCCCCGCTCGCCTGACGTCCTCGCCATGCACCGGCTCCACTCGTCCGTGCATCAGTTCCGCGAAATCCTCCAACACCTCCCGGCCCAATGACCAACGCCCGCTGGCCACATACCGATGCACCAGTTCCTGCAGCACCTCGGCATCGGTCACGAACGCCCCCGGATGCTCGGCAACCATCATGAGAACACGGCCGCAGGGCCCCTTGTACCGATGCTCCCGGCCGGCCGCGTAGATGGGCACGTTGGCGTCAATAAAGACCACCCGGGTCATGGGCACCCTCCAGCTCCCGCGACAACTGGGCCGGATCCGGCGGCTCCTCAACCTCCAATGCCGACAGGCGCCGCGCCGCGGCCCGGCGACGCTCCCGCATCACGTCCTCATACGCGTCGTCGATCAGGCCGCGCACCACCTCGGAGAGGAGCTGGCCCCTCACCTCGACGATCTCGTCCAGGCGCCGACGCTGTTCGTCGGCCAGCCGTATATCCAACCGTGCCATCACTCTCCTCTCTGTACGTGATATTCTGTACGTAATGGAGTATCCGGCACAGGCTCGCCGCAGTCAACTCCGCGGTCCATCCATCGCGCATGCCACCCGCGCTACATCTCGTCCCAACTGAGCGGCGCCATATCCTGCCCGGTGAACACCATGACCTACGCCCGCAATACCACCGTCAGCGCCATGCGCACTCGCAACGAGATCGAGGAAACCCTCGAGCGGTACGGCGCCGACGGCTTCGCCTACGCCACCCAGGGCAACCTGGCCACCGTCATCTTCGCCATGGCGAACCGCCGCATCCGCTTCGTCCTGGAGCTGCCCGATCCCGAGGACTTCCGGTACACCAACCACAGCCCGCCGCGGGAACGCAGCGACCGGGCCCAGCGGGAGGCCTACGACCAGGCGTGTCGCCAGAGGTGGCGGGCTCTGCTGCTGGTAATCAAGGCCAAGCTGGAGGCGGTGACTGCCGGCATTTCAACCATTGAGACCGAGTTCCTGGCCAACATCATCTTGCCCGACAACACCACCGCCGGCGAGTGGATGCTCCCCCAGATCGACCGGGCCTACCGCACCGGCGAGATGCCGCCCCTGCTGCCGGCTGCCGGGCGCACCGGCCAGCGATCTTCTGGCCCCATTCCGTTGCCGCCCGCCTGAGTGCGATCAACGCATTGGGAACCGGCGTTCCACTGTGGCACAATGTCGCCGGCGGGCCGGTTCGCGCCCGTGGCATGATGGGCGACCCTGCCGCAGACCTTCCGCCGGGGAGGAGCCCATGGTTGAACAACGGAAGCCTGTCGTCACCGAGCTGGCCCTGGCCAACGCCCTGGACCGACTGGTCAACCTGATCGAGGAACTCAGAACCGACGCGAGCCTGCGCGTGGAGATCACCACTGATGAGACCGACCTGGTGAAGCTGGTTTTTGTCGGCACTCCCGACGTGGGCTTCCCCCTACAGCGCGAGGTGCGGGATATTCCCGCCGAGATCGTGCGCCGCGTCTGGAACGAGGGTCTCCGCGACTACGATACCCCGCATCCCTCCGGCGACGCCGTCTGAGACGGTCGGTGCGCGACCCGCCGGAGCAATGCGCTGCCCGAGCCGTTCCGGTGATGCGTAACACCTAACGACGATGGGTTGCCGCCGCCGTTGGTTCCCGTTCAGCAGACTGATCCACTGAAACGGGACACCAAAACACGTACCTGATCATCACGTGATAGTCCCGTTATTCCGCGGCGCTGCCATCAGGACGCCTCATCCCCACTCTCCAGGTGGTGCTGCGCTAGCCTCCGGCCGGTCAACGCCGCCTCCCGCTCATCCACCATCACACCCGTCCCCACGTTGTGGGCCCGCAATTCCGCCATCTTCATCCGGAACCCGTGGCTACCCTGCGTCCCCTTCACCCGATTGCAGTACCCGCACAGCAGCTGGAGATTGCGGGTCTCGTGCTCTCCATCGTCGCTCAGGGCCACGATATGGTCGATCTCGAACCTCAGATGATGCGGTTGGTGGAAACCGCAGCCAGGGCACACACCCCGCTGCACCAAGTACAGCGCCATCCGCACCGATTCCGGCACGTTCTGACGGCGATTACCGTCCCCACGCCGACGGGCCGGTCGCTTCTCGTATGCCTCCGCTGGCTCAAGGTACTCCTGTAGCAGCGCCCCATCCATCGGCCGGGTGGGCTCACGGTACAGATAGCGGCCACGACTGACCCGCATGATCAGTTGAGGAGAAGCCTTACTGTGGCCCTGGGTGACACGGCCCGCGAGGTCCGACAGTTCACGGTTGACCAGGTTGCGGTCCCGTTTCGCGTTGGGGTTGAAACCAGCTACGCCCAAGTCTGCCACTAGTCCGTAAATTTCCTCGGTGGTCAGGATGCGCCCCTGGCGCGTCGCCATCACCTGCACGATGTGGGGCCTCAAACTGGTGGCTGCCTTGACCATCTACCCTCAGTCGTCGCCGCGTCTTCAAGACAACCCGGCCTTGGCACCGAGTGAACACGCCTGAATCGATTTAGCGCATCATAGTGCCGCTGCCAAAAAGATCCAAGCGTTCACTGTTACACCAGGTCGTAACGCCTGACGACGGTGGGATTCTGCTGATGGGTCCCAGAGAACCTTTCGGCTACGGCATTCGCTGCGTCTCAGCCATTTGGCGCATCTTTGGGATCACGTTGACCACTGTCTGACGACGTCGCCGCCATCATCGAGCCCCAATTGTCTTCCCCTACTGACCAAGCTAGATGATCACCGATTCCCAGGTGGTGATATGAATGGGTGAAACTACTAAAAGGCGAATCGGCGAACAGGCCGATTCACGGCATGATAGGTGGATCGGGTCACGGTGCCACTTGGGTTACAGAAAAGCCGGCCCGGTTCCCGGTTATATTGAATGGGATTCCAAATATATGTTAAGTTAACCGGGAACCGGGCCGGCGCGCGCGCGCGCGTGACGCTCGCACTCCTATCGCTCCCAAGGCATCCCTAAGTTCGCGAGGAGCTTCTGAGTAGTTCAACTGCGGCTGGTTCGGGCCATGGAACTCCCCGACTAACGTATTCCACAGGCGAGAGCACTTCCCTGTACCGCGGCAGTAGTAAGTGGTCCCAGGAAGGGACTTCATGAACTCCCAAGTGGTTAGCTCCATCGTCCCTTCTCCGCACTTGGGACATGGCGTTGGTGCTTTCTCGACTGGACCGGTAGAACTGAGTTCCTGTTCCTGTCTCTCCGGGTCGGGGCACCTGTCCGGTTGAACCACGTACCTGACACGGAGGGTGCTGCCGTAAATCTGTGCCACAGCATCGCAGACGATGCTGTGGTGAAGTGGTAAGGACAGCCACTGCACGGCGAAGGGTGACCGTGTTGCGACGACCAGTTCGTCGGTCGTTATTTCTACCCCGACCGTGGGTTCCGCAAAGTCAGCGTAGGGCTCTGCAGGGAGGACGTGCTTGATTTCGGACAGCACTGCAAGCCAGGTGCTGTCCGCTACTGGTGCTGTTTTCAACGCTTCTGATGGATCAGTGGCACGGTTCGCCAGGGCTTCTCCGATCGATTCTTCCGCATTGCGTGCTGGCTTCACCTGCGCTTCACCTGCGCTTCGTCTGCGCTTCGGGATCTCTCCTTCAGTATTTACATCGTTGGCTGGATGAGGTTCGTCAGCCATCCCCTCCGAAATGTGTTCTTCCGCATTACGCGCCGGTTTCACCTGCGCTTCACTTGCGCTTCGCCCGCGTTTCGGAATCTCTCCGTCAACAATTGCTTCGCCGGGCCGTTCAGTAGATCTTGGTTCCTGGCCCTCTGGGACGCTCATATCGGCACGCGGTTTCCGGCCTTCGCCGGCGGTTGCACCACCCGTATCCATTTCCTGCCGCGTTGCATGCTTTTTTGGAGACATGGCCGCTATCATTGACATCTGGACGTCTGCTCTTATGGTCCGATACCCATAGTCGTTACCACGCCGGATTATTTCCAGGCGTCCTTCTACTCTCAACTGGTTTATGGACGCCGATAAAGTCTGGGGCGCGACTTCCAAGAAATCCGCCAACTCTTTCTGTATGAGCCACACCGGTTCTGACGTCTGCTCACACAGCTCGTCGATGACCTCGAAGACCCTGTCTGCCACTAGCCTACTGGGAGGTTTGGTAGACGCCACGAAGGTCTTGCCGTTCCTGGTAACCGAAACCTGATTTACATCCGGGCGGCGTATCATATTGCCTTACCGAATTACGCCGCTCTAAGGTTCAACAGTCGACGGCATTGCGGATCGCCCGTCCGCGCACTGGTACGGAACGACCCCGGAGTTGCCGCCAAGCTTGGGTACTTGCTACCCGGATTGCCCTGTGTTATCTTTGGCAATGGAATACCCTTTCTGAGCTGCGCATCGGGGCGTGAAAGCACTCCGGCGGAGTACTCCTTTTACGCTTAGGGGACGGAGGGGTGTCTAGGCCAATCTGCCCTGGAAAAGTCGATTGGCCTTTTCTTTATGTCATCAAGGGTGGTGTCCGTTCAATTTCTCTAGCCCGGGCTGGCCGCCATTATCCTGGTCGCAATCCGGTTCGACCTCGCGCAGATAGTGGGCAATCGCTAGGCGAACTACCTCCGACGGCCTCAACCCATCCCGCTCTGCGATGCGCTCAATACGCTCGTAGCTTTTGATATCTACGCTGGCGCGCGCCTGTTTCCTTTTCGCTTTTGTGGTCGTCATCGTCATACTCGAGGATTGTTTCGCTAGGCCACTTATCCCTTCGCTGTCAAAATTTATCATAAACGCGCTAAAAATAGCAAAGCGTTCAGATGACATAAACGATACTAACCGCCCGGTTTTGCGCTGTCAACCTTCCGAAAATGGTTCGCCCATTCGAGTGTCTGAAGGCCGAAATTTAGGCGTTGCTACTCTTGTGAGGACAGTCAGCTGCCAGGTTGCCTTAAGCCCCGTCTGTCCAGCCACTCTTGGAACGCTTCCTCCGCAATTGCTGATAGTTTCATGTCGAGAATGGTCCCAGCGAGTTGTACATCTCGGCGCAACTGTACGGTAAGATACACGGTCAATCGTCGTTTATTGGCCACGTCGTCGGCCTTCGACATCAACCCATAAGCCGACCGGCTTCTCCTCATCTCCCAGCCGCGATTCTCCAGGAAGGCTCGGATGGTGTCGTCATCCATCTCCTCAATCGCGCTGGGGACCGGATCTGCTTCAGGTTCTCCCAGCTCGCGCACTGCCGGCTGGCCTCGTTTCGTCAGGGCTTCCAGCGTCGTCACCTTTTCATCAGGCATGAAGCGGCTCCTTTACCGTTTGCTTTTTGCTGCGGATGTCTATCCTTTTTTCTAGCCAACTCCAGAACGTCTGAATTTCTTCCGCCGCCGGACTTGTGGGGGCGTATTCGCATACCGCCTGCCCTGCTAGAGTGGCATCCCAATGATTGACCCGTCTGACCAAGGCCACTGGAGCAATCTCTATGCCCATGCCGGTGAGCGTTGTGAGCAGGATTTGGCGTCGTGCCTTGATAGCCGGGAGGTTGTTTGGCACCAGAATCATCTCCCAGTTGTGTAGTATGCCCTTGTGGACCAGTTTGGCTGTGGTCATAATTTCGAATGGCGCTGCTGTGATCGGTATCAGCAACAGGTCCATGGCTGACAACGCCTGATCCATGGTGAATGTGTCAGCTCCCGGTAGGTCGCATATCACGAGGTCATACTGGTCTCCTTGCGATATCCGCCTCAGTGCCTCTATCCCTTCAATGGTGAGCGACCCTTTTACAACCTCGATCCGAGGCGCCTCTGGCCTCAGGCTGTTTCGGATGTCAATTTGCTCGATGATGGTCATCTGGGGGTCGAAGTCGCACAGTAGCGTTTTTAAGCCTACAGATTCAGCCCGCTCGGCGGTGTTGAATGCCAGCAGGCTCTTGCCGGTGCCTCCTTTCCAGGAGGCGAACCCTATTGTCGTCATACTCCCTGCCTTTGCCGCGGCTTTGGTGACTTGTCACCACGAATGGGTGATTAGGCCAATGCGCCATTTCGGCAGTTTGCCTGTGCTCCGTATCACCTGTTCGCTTGTGTGTAGATTAGCAAGGAGGTTGATCTTTGCGCTTAGCGCGTTTGCTGCAAGTTTCGCGCATTGTCCAAGGGCCGGTCTATCTATGGCCGGAATTATTTGTCGGGAGCACTGCGACAATCAGTTTCCGCCCGCGACGAGATCCCCAACTGGATCCTGAACCGCCCGGCGAGCATCTCGTGCCAGGCCCTGTTGTCGTCATACTCCCTGCCTTTGTCGCAGCTTTGGTGACTTATCACTACGAATGGGTGATTATGCCAATGTGCCATTTCGGCAGTTTGCCTATGCTCCGTATCACCTGTTCGCTTGCAGGTAGATTAGCAAGGAGGTTGATCTTTGCGCTTAGCGCGTTTGCTGCAAGTTTCGCGCATTGTCCAAGGGCCGGTCTATCTATGGCCGGAATTATTTGTCGGGAGCACCGCGACAGTCAGCTTCCGCCCGGGACGAGATTCCCAACTGGATCCTGAACCGTCCGGCGAGCATCTCGGGGCAGATTGTGCTGAAGAAGGAAACACTGGACAGTTTCCTGGGGCAGGCCACGCGGCCGCCGCGCCGGTTCCGCTGGTTCTGAGTGGTCAGGGTTGGCAAAGCGCCAACCGTCGAAATAGCGCGGTCATAAAAGTCTGATAAGGGCGATTTATCGGACTTTTATGGACAGCCGGGACAAGCCAAGCCGGCGACGGGTCCCGCGGACGCCGATGACCGTCACCTCGCCGACACCGGTCTGGGTGAAGCCGGCCACAAATCGCCCGTGCGGGAGCGCTGCGTGGCCGACATCATCCACTTCCGGACCCCCCACGACGTAAACGTTGGTAAGATTGAATCATCAACCCGGTTTCCAGCCACCGGGAATCCTCACCCGGGAGAGTCCATGACCAAACGCACCACCCAGCGCCAAAAGGACTCCGCCAACACCGACCTGCCTCAGTTCCACGACCCCGACGACCAGGTCATCGGCCTGGATACCGAAGATACCGTCGCACCAGACGAAACCGATATTCAGCACGACCCCGAGACGGAAATAGTCGAGATTGACCCCGACGAGGCCGCGGTCCGCGCATACTTCGCCGACTCACGACGCAGCCAGCTCGAAGCGCTCCCCGAGCCCACCAGGCGCGACTTGCAACGCGAGGAACAGATCTGGGACGAACCCGAAGAAGACCTGGCCTCGCCGGACGACCCGGTACGGGTGTACCTCCGCGAAATCGGACGCATTCCGCTCATCGCCGCCAAGCAGGAGAAATACCTGGCGCGCCGTATCGACGAGATGGCGCACCTGCACCCGATCCCCGGACTAAACCACCTCGCCATGCTCAGCGACCCGCGACGCCTGGAAGACGAACTCGGCCAGGGGCCGCTTCCCATGCCGCACCGCGCATATACCCGGGTCGCCCGCCTGATGAACGACCGGCGCATACCCGATCAGCTCCCGCAAATCCACGGCGATGACCTGGACGTGTCCTGCTGGGACGCCACCATGCTGCTCCTGGCGCGTATCACCAACGCCTGGCCCATCATCCAGTCCATCTCGAACCACGCCCAGATCGGCCAGCAGCTCACCATCACCGAGATAATGTCCAACCGGACCTTCCGTGACGCCATCGACCAAACCATCGACCCGGCGCTGGTCGAACTGGTGGCGCATGAGCTGAGCTCGGACCCGGACGATATCACCAGGGCCATCGTCCAACTATCCCTGGACACCACCGCCCTGCCCAAGCACACCAGGGAGACCATCAACCAGTACCTGCACGCCTGGCTGGAAACCCACCCGGAACAGGAACAGCTGCCCGCATCAGAAACCATCAATGAGGACGACTGCCAGATTCCCATTCTCTCCATGATGCTCCACGACCCCCGCTTCATCGAGCGCATCGGCGAGGACCGGCTCCGCGACGCGGCGCACTACTACCGGATCCTCACGGACGGCGAGACCGCCCATGATGATCTCAGCCAAGCCAACTTGCGCCTCGTGGTGAGCATCGCCAAGAAACACCTGGGGCGGGGCCTCAGCATGCTGGACCTGGTCCAGGAGGGCAACATGGGGCTGATGCGCTCGGTGGACAAGTTTGACTACCGCCGCGGCTACAAGTTCAGCACCTACGCCACCTGGTGGATCCGACAGGCCATCACCCGAGGCATCGCAGACCAGGCCCGCACCATCCGGGTCCCGGTCCACATGATCGAGATCATCAACAAGCTCGCGCGACACCAACGCAGTCTCCTGCAGGACCTGCAGCGTGAGCCCACCACCGAGGAAGTCGCTGCGGCCATGGAGTTGACACCGGAACGGATCCTGGAAATCCGAAAGCTTGCCCTCGAGCCCGTATCCCTGGAAACCCCCGTAGGCGAGGAAGAGGACGCCGTCCTGGGCGACTTCATCGAGGACCGCGCTTCCGTCACACCCGACCAGGCCGCGGCCCATCGAATGATGAGCGACCAGATCAACCAGGCGCTGTCGACACTCACCGATCGCGAGCACCAGATACTCAGGATGCGTTTCGGCCTCGACGACGGCCAGAGCCAGACCCTTGAAGAGATCGGCAATCAGTTCGGAGTGACCCGGGAACGCATCCGCCAGATCGAGGCCAAGGCGCTGCGCAAAATGCGGGATCCGTCCAGGTCCGAAGCGCTGCGCGGATACCTGGAATAACACCGGACCCCGGGCTCTCGATAACCCTCGCAACCGACCTACCGGGCAACAGTAGACACCAACGGTCGGAATCGAACGCGGCGTTATCACGGCTCCCAGCCCTCTGACTGCCCGCCGTTGACCGCCGGGACGTGATCCTGCGATGCGTGATCCTGCGATGATTAGCGCCGCCGGAGGTGGTGCTCCGGCGACTTCAGCGCAAGCTCAACTAAGAAGCCGACGCTGCCTGCAGAAGTGTAGCACTGCGCGGACGTGCCAGTTCCGCGTTCAACTTTCCCGCGATGGCCATCGCCGGCCTGATGATCGGCTGGCTGCCTGTGGTTGACTTCAACACGGGAGCGCGGGTGTCGGAAGGCGTCTCGGAGAATGAACCACGACCCTGGCGCGCGGCCGCCTGATGGTTCACGATGGCCGCCTTGGCGATGCGGGAGGATGTCATGATCAGATTGTGGGGCAGGGAGAGGCTGGCGTTGCTGCTGGCGGTCAAGGAGAGGGTTGCTCCGCTCTGCTCTGCTCGGTTATTGGGAGCGAGTGCGAACCCGGACTAGTCCAGAGATGGACCGACATGGCGGAGTCCTGGGTTGTCCTCATTGCTCTGCTCTGCTCGGTGCGGATAGCGGGCATGACCCCTCCCCGCTTTAGGAGATTTTTGCCTTAAGAATGTCTGAACGCGTTAAAGAAGGCATTAGGCAGGAAAAACTTTCTATGACTCTCTCTCACACGGTCGGGCTTGGCATTCGTATCTGGGAGACCTGCTGACTGTCCGCGACCGTCAGCCATTCCGGGAGCGCCATGGTGAACGCGTCCATCTGGCGTCGATAGTCCCGACGGTGCGCGGTCACGCCCATCCGGTCGAGCAACGCCCCCAACTCGCGGTGATTGACCCGCACGCCGGTCGCTGCTCGGATGGCACGGGCCATGTCGTTCGCCGTGAACGTGTCCACGTCGGGATTGATGCGTCGTTCGTTCATGACCTGCCCCATGCGCTTCATCAGTCCGCGCTCGACGCTGGTCATTACGATTTGCCGTTCAGTCGTCATAGTGCCCCCTGCCACGTGCCCCCTGCCACGTGCCACCTGCCCACCTAGCAGCCCGTCTGAGAATTGCGCACGATGCCTGTCAAGGGCGTCGACAAAACGTACCAGTGGGGCGGCGGAATGTTGTATCACTTGGATGATGCCTGATGGCTTTGGTCTGGCCGGAGGCAGGCCTGGGTGGTGGGGAAGCTGGAGCCGGCGGGGAGAGAGCTAAGCGTCGGCCGGTTCGTCCAGGGATAGCGCGGCGGCGTTTTGCCGGCTGCCCTTGAGACGGTAGCTCTCACCGGCGTCTCGACCCACGTCTTGCAAACACCTGTCGAAGCCCTCAGCCCAACTATCACCATCAGGGAAGGTTCAGACGCAACGGCGCCCGGAGACCTGCTGTACACCCTGGAAGGTGGATCGCTGGCATCGACGGGTGAGCAGAACTTCACCGTTCCCAGCGGAACCGGAGCCAACCTCGCCCCGAACACCAGCTATTACGCGCAACTGGACGCCGATGCGCCCGACAATACAAACACGCCGGTTGCCCGGTTGGCCTGGACACACGTCGCCGACGAAGACCCGACCGGAGCGCCCAGTTGGACCATATCCGACGGTTCCTCGACCCGGTTCGACCCGGAGGAAAGCTGGCGTTCCCTCGCGAATACTACGATCAACATCAGGATTGAAGGTACCGTGAGAGAGGCCGTGGTGCCCAACAGTCCCGCCACCGGAGAACCGTCAATATTGGGCACGATCCAGGTGCGAGAGACACTCACCGCCGACACGGGAGGCATCGCGGACGCCGAACGGCCTGACCCAGGTCGCATACTCCTACCAATGGTACCGGGTGTCCTGCTCCACCAGGAAGATCTCCGGGGTGACATCCCAGTCGTACCGGCTCACCTCCGCAGACCGCGGGAAGATGATCAAGGTACGGGTGTCCTTCGACGACGACCGGGGCAACCGGGAACGCTTGTACAGCGAAGTCACGGACCAGGTGAGGCCTCGGCCAGCGATTAGTTTTACTCCCGGTGAGAGGCCGGTGAGCTGCGCTATCCGGTACCCGTCAGTCTGCCGCCAGCGCCAGCGCGTGGTCGTCGGCATGCCCGTTCAGGTTCACCCTCTTTCCGTCTTTGATGACGGAGGATAGGTGGCGGCCCTGCTGTAGCACGCTGATGTCGGCCAAGGGATCCTGGTCCATAATCAGGATATCGGCCAACTTGCCGGCCTCAATCGTCCCCAACTCGCCCTCCAACCCCACGGCAAAGGCGTTCTCCTTGGTATTGGCAACTATGGCTTCCATGGGAGTGTAGCCGCCATATTTGACCATGATCTCCATTTCGTTGGCGTGCAGTTCGCCGTAGGGCATTAGCGGGGAGTTGCCGCTGTCGGTACCGCACAACACCTTCACACCCATGGAACGGGCCTGCTGCAGCATGTTGTAGCCGCCTTCCAGATTGTACTTGATCTGGTCGACTTCCTTGTCGCTCCTGCCAAACTCGCGCCCAACCTCAACGGCGTGCTTCAGGAAGGTGATTGTGGGCATGATGCGCACACCATTCTCCGCTACCACTTCAAGATCGGCTTCGGTAGCCAGGTCGGCGTGCATGATCCAGTCCACGCCAGCCTCGGCGGCGGCGCGGGTGGAATCGGACCCCCGGGAATGGATGGCGATCCGAGCGTTGCGCCGGTGGGCTTCCGCGACGACGGCCTCAAGCTCTTCCTTGGAGATGGTCTGGAAGTCTCCCCAGGTGCTGTCGGCCATCTTGATGAAGTCGACCCCGTGCTTGCATTGACGCCGCACCTCGGTGATCATCTCGGCTACCGAGTTTGCCAGCACGCCGTTGACGTGCTCGGGCGTGCCCATCCACGATGGCTCGTTGTCGGCGATGCTGCCGTAGGTCACTATGAACCGACCGGCGCAGTAGATGCGCGGACCCTCGATCAGGCCGGCGTTGATCGCCTCCCGGAGCGCTACGTCGATGAACCAGGTGCCGCCCGGGATGGAAACGCTGGTAACGCCAGACCGCAGCACGGCCCGGGCGTTCCTGGCCGCCCTGATGGTGGAGAACTCGGGGCTGGTGGTGCCCCGAGCGATGTTCAACCCGGGCATGGCCGGTTGGCCGAACGACAGGTGGCAATGGCCTTCTATGAGGCCCGGCATGATCCACTTGTCCGTAGCGTCGATGGTTTCCACGTGCTCCCGGTCTTCGACATTGATCCGTGGAGGGACCTCCCCAACGCTGAGGATGCGGTTGCCCTGCACCACCACCGCGTCGTTACGGGCCGCCGGTTGACCCGTTCCGTCAATCAGGGTGCCGTTGCGGATTATGGTGGTCATTACGCCGTTGGTGCTCATGGTCTTCTCCTTTGGAATCCGTTTCACGTCCAAGTGCCGGTGTGCGTCGGCCAGCTAACTCGGGTGGCTCGGTGTTTGTCGGTTGCCCCGTTGGCAGGGAGTTCCGGCCAAATCGTTAGGCACCTCCCCATCGCTGGCTTATTACGAATGTGTGCTCACCTACAGTAGCTGTGATCTCCAGCTCATCATCGATGATGCGCCAGTCCTGGGACGGCTGGCCGTCCATCACAACCCTGCAGCGTTGGGGGTCCACGTTATTAACCCGGAAAGAGGTTGGCCGACCGGCGGCGCTGGGCAGGCCAGCGTCCGTGGAGACCAACAGGCAACGACGATCGACGTCGTAATACGCCTGCGAGAGGCAGACTGTAGGAAAATCCACTCCGTATACCGTCGGCTCTATGAATTTCCTCAGATTGGGGGCGTCGTAGATGCGCGCCATTGCTCCTGGTGAGCCGGCTTCGGCGCTCGCAATGTGCCCGTTGTATTGGCCCCTGGGATGGGGTTCGTTGAGCCTGAATCCCCAAGTGAACTCCCCCAACGCGGTGTCCCAGGTGGGCTGGTAATTGTCTTCCGCATGGGCCATGAGCTTGGCGTAGATAGCATTCTCGCCAAACTCCTTGGCCAACGCCAGTCCGCGTACCGTTGCCACGGGAGTGGGAGCGCCGGTGGCGTAGTCTATCGACCCCTCCCGGTGCGGCTGGAGGTTGGTCCAGCCGAGGGCTTCAACTGCTCCGTTGAAAAGCAATCTCGCCTCTTGATTCTTCTGGCCCAGCAGTTCCCTCGACAGTCCAAGGTGCCCGCCGGCTCGCGTCTGAAAATGAAGATCGATCAGGGGATCGTAGTATCGCGTGGAGACGTCACGGGCCGTGCCCGTGATGCGCCCCAGCCCGTAAAGCTCCTTGGCGGTTTCCCACCAATTGTTGAAAACCCGGTGATAGTCGCTTCCGTAAAGTATGTCGTGTAGCCTCAGACCGAGGCCGGCTCCGGCCAATCAATTTGGCCAGACCTTGGTGTTCTCTCAATGGCAGCCCTCAGCTCTCTTGGACCACTGTCCTGCCAGGTGTTCTGCGATTTCGGAGTGGGTCCAAGTGAAGGTGTTTTCACCGTCCCGTACTACGTTGAAAGGCCGGTTCCACTTATGGTCGCCGGTCACGTACACGTAATACCCCAGCAACTGCAGGAACCACCCCTTGAAGAAGAGATTGCCGTCGGCGCCGATGGGGTCCATCTGCAGTCCCCAGGGCTCTACTCCGTTTGCGGTCCAACCGATGACATCGTAATTGCCTCTGAGGTGCTTGGGGATCAGGTTCTGGTACCATCCTTCAGGGTAACTCTCTCGCCTGGGATCGGGGCCAATCTGGTCAAGCCAGTCCTTGGCGGCCCAGTACCCGGTATGCCTGAAGGCGAGCTCGTCCAGGACGCGGCCATAGACCTCCCGCCACGCTGGAGTGGTGTCCGCCATCAGCACCATTGCGTACATTGACGCCCACAGGTCGAACCTGTGCCACGAACCTGGGGGTTCGTTTGAGATGTTGTCCCAGTGAGGGTGGGGTTCGCCGTCTTTGTCCCAGTTGTCCTCAGTGGTGGCCTTTCGATACATGTATCTCAGCCAGCCCCGG